GCGAACAAAATTTTGCGGGACTTGCATAAAATCTAAAGAAATGAGGTGGCGGATGCAATGAAAGCTTGAGTTAAGCTGGTCGAAGGAAGCAAAATGCCACTGATGAATAGTGTTTTATTGAAACATTCCTAGGTCTTTCCAGATCTAAAAAAAGCCTGTCAATGACTGATGGGAGTTGAACAGAGGGTTACGAATGTACTGGGGCAGAGACAGGTGTTACTGAGCTCCAAAGTGCCGGGGCCTGAACTGATTCCAGATTTAAGGGCAGCTTTTCACTACAACATCCTGGGTGTGAAAGTTGGTGACCACTGTTTGGTGGGAGGCCCTTCAAGGGACACAGAGAAGAGGGACTATGAGGCTTCTCAACACTGCAGCCATGATGGCTGGCTGGCATTAAGTACATATGTTCTAATGTTTGCAGGCCCAATAGTAAAGCAAAGAAGTTGGGTAGGAGCAAGGCCACCGCAACTGTTAGGCCTTTGTAAAATGTCTTTTTTTGATTCTAATGTTGTGCTTTTGTTCCAAATTAAATTGTGAGATACGCTATCAGGAGTGGAAAAAGTGTTTTGGGGGAGGAAAATTAGGTTATACACGGAAAGATATAAGTACTTGGGCAGCATTCATTTTAATACAATCTTATACGACAGCGAGAGACAGAGGCAGGTGACCAACGATGGATGTCTTGGGACAGCCTAGCTAGATGAGGGGAAAAGTTACGTTCAAATTAGGTTCTGAATGTTTTCGTTAAACCATACACCCCGATATTTAAGTGCTCCAGCGATTTTCTGAATGTAACTCGGAGGGGATGGCTAGGCTGCTGCATTAATTGTCATCAAGTTCGCTTTTATGCAGATCAATTTATAACCTGAGATTTGCCCAAATTCTTTTCAACACGGTCAGTACAATATGGGGATAGATTTGTCTGGGCTAGAAAGAAAGACCAGGAGTCATCGCGTCATGAGATAGTTATGTATATATGGCCACCTCTTGAGATGCCCACATCTGCTGGCCCTAAGAGCTACTGCTAGAGGTTCAATAAATTTGGCAAAAAGTAATGGAGAGGTGCGACAGCTCCTGTCGGGTACCACTGGTTGAGGGGAAATATACAGTAGTCATTATTTGTGCAAACAACACATGCAAGGGTGGATTACTTACAAAGCTTAATCCAAGATATAATTGTATTGCCAAAGCCAAAACATTTCAGTTGTAAAACAGGTTAGGCCATCTCCACACGATCAACTGCCTTTTCAGCATCATTGATGACCAGCTCCAGGGTCGTCAGAGGTGGGTTGGTGAATACAGAATATCGAACAGTCGTCTGACATTGAAGAATGTTGTTCTTTATAACCCTTTGGTCTGTCAGAGATGATGTTGGCAGGGACTACCTTCCAGCCGCCTACCAACATTTAGCCAGTTTTTGAACATCAGCACAAAGCAGAGAGATAGGGCGATAATTACTACAAGACAACTGGGTCTTGTAGTAATTATTCGCACTATCTCTCTGCTTTGTGCTGAGTTCAATTACTGGCTAAAATGTTGCTGGCGGCCTGGCGTGTGTCCTGCCAACTATCACTCTGCCAGCCCAAACAGGGTTTATAAAAGACAGACATTTCTCTTCACAATGTCAGACGAGTTTGATTCTGATTTCACCAACCACCTCTGCGCGAGTGTCCATCTCCCATGGGATGCTGAAAGGCATGAGTTTGTTGTTGAGTGGCCTTACCTGTTTTACATCACTGAAATTTTTTGGCTTTTGGGCAATACACTTATTCTTGGATTAAGTTTTGTATACATCCCCCTTGGTTGTGTTTGCTAATATAATGGACTCTGACTATTTCTCCTCACCGTGGTACCCGACAGGGTGTCCACTCTCTCATTTACTTTTGTCCAAATTTGATTGAACCTCTAGCAGTAGCTCTTAGGGCCAGTCGATGTTGGGTGCACTCAAGATGGTGGCATTATAACATAAACTATCTCTGGTACGCCGGATGAACTCCTGGTCTTTCTTTCTAGCCCAGACAATCTACCCTATTGTACTGACCGTGTGAAAGAATTTGGGCAAATTCTCAGTTATAAATTGATCGCATAAAAGCGAACTTGTGACAATAAATGCAGCAGCCTTGGCCCATCCCCCCTCGGTTATCCATTCAGAACATCGCTGGAGCACTTTAATATTGGGGTGTATGTTTAACGAAAACTATTCGAAACTATTGACGTAACTTTTCCCCTCTCTAGCTAGGCTGTCCCAGACATCCATCGGTTGGTCATCTTGCTCTGTCTCTCGCTGGTCGTAATAAATTTATTAAAATGAATGTGTGCCCAAGTTTCTTATATCTTTCCAGTGTATACCTTGTTTCCTCCCCAACACTTTTCCACTCCTTGATAGCGTAATCTCACAATCTTATTTGGAACAAAAGCACCCTTAGAAATCAAAAAAAGACGTTACCAAAAGCCTAAACAGTTGGGTGGCCTTGCTCTACCCAACTTCTTGCTTTACTATTGGGCTGCAAACATATAGAATCATTTTTTGTTGCTAATGCCAGCCAGCCATCATGGTTGAGTTGAAGAAGCCTCATGTAGTCCCTCTTCTCTGTTGTCCTGAAGGGCCTCTCTCTCACCAGCAAGTTGTACTTTCACACTCCAGGAGAGTGTTGTAGTTGAAAAGGCTGCCTAAAATCTGGAATCCGTTCAGGCGGCACTTTTGGGCTACAGATAACACTTTCTGCCCCAGTACATTCTAACCCTCTGTTCACTCCATCAGTTCATTTGACAGGGCTTTTTGATCTGGTTTAATGTGTTCTCCTAGGGTTGGTTTCAATAATACAGCTTTACATCAGTGGCATATTTGCTTCCTTCGACCAGCTAACTCAGCTTTCAATTGCTGGTTAATATTTGATAGTGGTCGCATATCATTTTCCGGGCTTTCCCTGCTCCTCTCTGTTGATACAATTACTTGTTTAACCTAAGAAAGGTTCAATTCCTAGTATAATACTAGCAACAACCTCTGATTGGGTGATCTGAGGAGTGCTAGGTGAAGGATAGACCTTGGGGTGCTCTGAGGTGGGTCATCGCTGGGATGGTGGGAAGGGTCACAGATTCACTGGTCCAAAAGTAGAGTAATCTACCTGACATTGACCCAAACTGTGGACAAATGCAAGAAGAGATATGTTCTTGTATTGCCCACCTTGCTCCTTTCGGGTTTTTTTTGACTCCCTCTCAGCCATCACATCTATGGCGCCTCTGTTGGTGTCCTACCCACTGGCTCTCACTGCGTCCTATTTTGTCTGAACTTGTTGCCTCTCACATCGTTAGCAAGACCGTGCCATTCTGTGTGTGTAAAGGCCCTTGCTATTTCACGGATTAAAGGATGGCCCTTCATTTTATGAGGCTGGCTGAAGGATTAAATACTCTCTGTTTCTGATAGAAATTTATTAATATAGAACCCTTCTAGTAGATTCAGACCAATAGGTGATGTGACATCTAGACAACTCTGGTTATGCCTTCCCCCCCAATAAGCTTCAGCTTGTAGTACTGAGCAGGTGTTATTATTTATTTTACTTTTTCTGTCTGTGCTGTTAGTTGTTATTATACTGTTTGTATCTTTGTTTACAATGTATACATGTATATAAGCATGTATGATTTGGAATGCATATGTAAATTATTTGGGGGTAAACTGTTCTCTTTGTTGATAACTTGTTCCACAGTATTCAACTGTGGTATCATCTCACTCCATGTAGGATGGTGTATTGTATGTCTGTTGTGCTCAAAATCTCATAAATAAATCATAAAGAAATAAATAAAAAAAATACAGATTCAAAATTGTACAAGTTGAAGCTTTTGTTTTAGCAGTTTGCAAGAGCGCAGGTACTTGCTTTCAAGCAGAACAGGGCAAACAAACTTAGCGGGAGTGTTCGGTATAATGACGTAAAACGGCCTCGACAACTTCTGTAGTCCTATTCAGCCACTTGTTAACAACCATCGTTTTTCAGACACGTAAACTCTTCAAAAATCACCAGTGGGGTCACTGCTGATGTATTTAATGGCGTAGAAAAAAACGTGATCTGTCTCTTCAATTTGTGTCAACCACAGACCTTATTTCAAGCTATTTTCCAAAATTGCATTGCTTTTTATCGAAGGAAGCGGAAGTGGTAAAAATGCTAACTTACTTACAGATTTTAGGACGCGTCACTACGGTTATTTAAAATCTCATATATGGTGACAAGGACAAGAAAACATGACTCATCAAAAATGAAAATCTTTATTTAAAAAAAGTATACCCAATTTGGGACACCAAGTTTCATTTGTGGAAACTAGTTAAGATAACAGAATGCATCCTTTCTATTCATTTAGAGGATTACCTTTAACCCAACGTTGAGACACAACAAATTCAAAAATTCAAACAACATCCTTCAACAGTCTTGTTATTTGACACATCACCAACTCAGTCACCACATATCATCAGAGCCTCTCCCAGCCTGAAAGGGAGTTGCGGGTATGTCTATGCACAAACAAAAACACAGTGAGTTTGGAGTTTGGCTTGCGATAACTTGTAAACTGTTAGCCGGTATGAAAGACAGAGAAAAAATAAATAAAAGCTGCTATTCTCCGGGCTCCAGTGGTCCGTGCAGACCAGCTGTAGAGCTGTAATGGTTACACAGCGACTAACTGTCTGTGGTAGCATGATGTGGTTCTGGTCCAGAACTGAGAGGGGGACACCTGCAGTGGGGTTCAGTTAAAAACTATTCTGAACCTCCGCGCCTCGATGTTGCGAAGCCAGCTTACCGTAGCCGCCTCTGGCCGGGTCATAGTCCTGCCTGTACTCATCTCTCACCTACAGGAGAAACACAATCAGAGGGTTGCAGTAAATACACATTATTCATTATTTTAATGCTGGGGGTCCAAATCATTTATATAATTAAGGGCAATTGCCTCTATTTTTCACCCCCAATAAACCAGTTCTTAGTACAATATTTATGCTTCTTCATTAACACTCGGCCAGAAAGCTTATTGTGCAGCAATACAACCCATTTGAAATGATTATGCATTAGTTAATAGCATAATATCTTTCATATTTCTAATGCCATGCTATATTAATGCTGTCTCTACAAAGGCCACGGTGAGGCATGCATAATTTATTTTTGGACAAGAGTTCACTTTCTAAATATCATACTGGTGTTTTCAAATGTCATAATGTAGTGTGTTGATTTTTTTCTCCGTAAATGCCATAATTTAAATACCATAGCATGCTGTGTTTTATATTGTTTTCCAAAACTTTTCAATATGAAGGACACAAATGAAAAGGCAGGAGATCCAGAACATCACCCAGGGGAGGGCAGCAATGATTTTCACCACTCCACATATACCTAACATATATTCACCATTTAGGAAGCACTGCCCAACTGTATATTCTATTGTATTCTTTAGTGAGACATTTCAGAATTTGTTATACACAGATTTTGTACACACAAATGTTTGGTTTGCTGATATGTAGACCATTTATTTTAAGCCAGTAAACCATTCGGTGCATCTCTCTGAACTGTATCTATCTTAAGTGTCTGAATCCTCCTCACCTGTCCTCCAGACTTGCCGCGGCCGTACTGCCGTCCCTCCTTGAAGCCGGCGTCCCAGTCTGTTCTGATGATACGGTCGTCCAGCCGTGTGCCGTTAATGAAGCGCATGGCGTTTTCTGCTCCTGTCCGAGTGTAGTATCTGGTAGAGCAGGAGTTATGGTCTGTTGCAGGCTAATACACTTAGAAAACACGATCACTTATCACTATAGTGGTAAAATGTTAGTTAAACGTCAGCAGATTGTTGACAGATATGAGTGTTTGCTGGAGGTTAAATAAAGTCTTTTTCATATAAAAGGATACTCTACAAAGCAGAATCCACAGGCTGTCTTTTTCACTTTATCCAGACCAATGATGATGCGCTTGACGTCTCCACCTTTAGAGAAGATATCGTGCACCTGCAGTTACAAAGACAATACAAGTTATTATAAAAATGATCTGTTGAGCATTAAATAATTACCTGTAAATACTTTAAACAATTAAATTGGTTTAAAAAGTATACCGCCATTTAAATATTTTAAACTAGCTTTGTCTCTGATTTAAAAACAAATGCAAACATTAAAAGGTGGGGTAGGTAATTTGAGAAACCAGCTCGAGTGCGCTAGGATTTGAAAATACACAGGAGGGCCCTTTCTCCCTTCTCTTATTTTTCATTTCCTCGCTCCTCGGTCTCCCCGGAAGTTGATTTGTCTGTGCCATCTGGAGTAGCGTCCCAATGGCATTATTTTTGCCAGAGGAGCGATAATTGAGGAGCTATAATCGAGGAACCACCGGACCATCCTTCGATGAAATTCTCAGACACTCGCCCCGCCCCCTTACTGTGTACCGCTCACTGATTGGACGATGCAGCGCATGCACTGATGCTTCTTGACATGAGAGCAGTTTCCCAGCGGAGTGAAGAAAATACATGAACCTCACGAGAGTCACTCCTCAGTTTATACTGTGTTTTGTTTCAATTCATGTATCATTTCGTTACAAATGTGTGATATATCTGAACAACAAAGTGGTCGAAAATCATTTTATGGAAACATTTTCATGATCGCTTTTTTCGTTTTACATTTTCATTTATTGTCATTTCCATTCAGTCAGTCATTAAGTGCTATTTAAAATGTTAATTTGCTACATATCCAAACAAACAAACAAAGTGTGCAATCCAATGGAAAGTTAATCTAACTGGGTTTTGATAGATAACATATTTTTCTTCTCTGAATTATTTTATTTATTTTGTGCACTCTAATCAATATTTATCAAACTATTGTTTGTTTATACATTTTAAGAATGTATTATCTTTTCTGAGAATTAGTTCTTATTTTATTTTATTTATTTGGGCCTACAACTATGAAGGTAGATATGGTGCAAAATGCGAGAGCATGTAAAACCTGATGTAAGCACTTGCATAAAAAAAATTTGAGCTTGTGTGTATACATTTACATACAATATTCACGTAACTGTGAACCAAATTTACACTTGTATAAA